CCCTCAGGGATCCATACTTGGACCAATACTTTTTTCCCTTTACATTAATGATCTTTATTACTACTTATTACCAGATATTTGTGTATTGTACGCAGATGACACCACCCTTATAAAGAGTCACAAAAATCTTCATATATTACAAAGCTTATCTAAACAGCTTGAAGAAAAGGCAAACAACTGGTTTAAACAGAATAGCTTATGCCTAAACTCAGACAAAACTAACAGGCTAGTAGTAACTAGTAACTCTTCTCTTGCAGAAAACAAATGTGTAAAATTGCTTGGCATAACAATTGATAGCTCACTAAAATGGACAAAGCACATTGAAACCCTATGTAGCAAATTAGCCACAAACATATTCTTACTACGCAGACTAAAAACTTGCATTAGTAATGAATGCCTTGTTAGTGTTTATTACTCCCTCATCGTCTCTCACATTCAATATGGCTTATTAATCTGGGGAAATTCTACCCATATAAATAGAGTCTTTATATTACAAAAAAAAGCAATTAGAATTCTTGCGGGAGCTGGTTATCGTGACCACTGTAGACCACTCTTTATAAAATTAAATATGCTTACAATTTATTCAATGTACATCTATCAGAGCCTTGTTGAGATTCATAAGAACAAGCATAAATTCTCAATGCACTCGGATGTTCATGGATATAACACCAGGCATTCCAATCTACTTCAACCTAGCGCTCACAGGCTAAAGATCTCAGATAAAAACTCACTTGATGTTAGGGTATATAACAAGCTAAAAAACACTACTAAGAATCTTACCTTAAAACATTTTAAAAATACACTTTGGCAAGAATTAGTTAAACATCCTTTTTATTCCTTGAATGAGTTTATCGCGACCCCCCTATGTGTGTGATCTGGCCTACTACACCTTTATATTATATTATATTTTATTTTATTTTTACCAATTATAGTTTTATATGTATTGTATACGTCATCAGTAATTTTCATGACAAGTGTAAAAACAAATGTTTTGTTAATTGGCACGTAATATATATATTCATATTCATATTCATGGATATCGCAACATAAGGATCTAATACTATTCCAAAGTATTTTATATTTGCCACTCTATCAATTTGCACTTTTTGATCTGGAGTTGGAGGCGATATCTGAGTAATTTAGCAATTGTCTATCATAAAACACGCATGGTAAAAAATATGTTTTGACAAAATCACTTTCAATTACATTTTTTAGATGTCATCGTCTTCATACAATATTGCAGCATTATCTGCAAAACTGGTTATTTTGCAAACAAAAGTAATTTGGAAAATATTATTTAAGTATACAGGGTGTTCCTTAATATAATAATTAATGTTAGTTTGCTAATAATTAGTCACAAAGAGAAAAGCAGAAATGCCTGGATTACCAAAGGATTAATAACATCGGCAATAGAAAAAGAAAGACTATATAATGAAATGAAACTAACGCCAACTACAGAGAATACCGACTGCTACAACCAATATAAAAATAAATTTATAGAGCTTGTAAGGCAAACCAAACGAAAACATTACCTAAATAAATTGAATAATAACTTAAATGGTCCTAAGCGGCTTTGGACAACCATTGATGAGATTACTGGGAAAACAAAAGTTGAAGAGTGTGTCACTGAGTTAAATTCAACATCGGGAACAGTATTAAAAAATACTCAACAGATATGCGATGAATTTGTACAATTCTTTACTGACATAGGCGAAAATTTAGCAAGTAATATACAAGCAAATGTACAAAATACTCAGCCTCCAAAAAGAACTTTGAACTCATTTATTTTGGATAATGTCGAGCAATGTGAAGTATACACCACTGTTATGTCCTTAAAAAATCGGAAAAGTCCTGGGTTCGATGGTATTAAAAGCGAGCATTTGAAAATTATAGCCGAGGACATAACAGAACCACTCACTTACCTAATCAACAAATGCTTTGAATCTGGCATATATCCCTCAATTTTAAAAAAAGGTAATATAATACCGATACATAAATCAGGAACAAAAACAGATGTTAACAACTATAGACCAATATCAATAATATCCAGTGTAGCAAAGGTTTTTGAAAAACTTTTATCTACTAGAATGATTCGATACCTCACAAAATTCAAAATTTTAAGTGGAAATCAATATGGATTTACAGAAGGGAAGGCTACATCGGACGCAATAACTAAAATTGTAAATCAAATACATCAAAATATTGATAACAGAATCCCTTCAATCTGCATTTTTGTTGATTTAAAGAAAGCTTTCGACACAGTTAATCACAAATTATTATTAGAAGCATTGGAGAGAATTGGTTTCAGAGGAAACGCGTACTCGCTGATCGAAAGTTATTTGTCAAATCGCCCACAATCTGTGCAGATATCAGGATCATTTAGTAAAGAAATGTATATTAAGTGTGGTGTGCCACAAGGAACTGTCTTAGGTCCGGTGTTATTCAATATATATTTAAATGATATTTTCCCAATTAATTGTGTTGGCAAAATAACTAGTTTTGCAGATGATACTGCAATATTATATGAAGGTACTGACTGGTCTGATCTGAAAAATGTAATTGAAAATGATTTTATCAAAATTATTCAGTGGTTTAACAGTAGAAAATTAAGCATTAACTACTCTAAAACACATTTTTTACCATTTGGATCTTATGTTAGACATCTGGCAAATTACACAAATTTCTCCTTCAATATTAATGATCAAAAAATGCAAATTAATAGAGTGCCCAACATAAAATACCTTGGAGTGGTCTTGGATCCTCACTTACGATGGGACATCCATGTCAATTATATTTTAAAGAAAGTTAGATTTGTATCCTACAAAATTAAATACCTTGGGAATATATTGACAGAAAAATATCTTCGAACATTATACCATGCACTGATTGAGCCTCATCTCACATATGGTATATTAGCATGGGGAGCTGCATGTTCCTCACATATCTATAATTTAGATGTTTTTCAAAAAAGTATTCTAAAAATGATATTTAAAAAACCGAAACTTTATCCCACTGAAAAATTATACGCAGATGTTCGAATGTATGATATAAGACAGCTTTATTTCTTACACAGTATCACTCACTACCATAAATTTGTAAACACCGACCAAAAAATTAAACATAATCATTATCCCAGGTACAAAATTCGTGGCACAGTAGTTCCTCAACCGCATAAATCTATAATGCAGCGATCATATCTCTATTTAGCGCCTAAATTTTATGAAATTATACCTAAAGACTTAAAAGATTTACGTTTCGGAAATTGTTTCAAAAGAAATTTAAAAAAGTGGCTACATTCTATATCTAGGACAGAAATTCATAAACTCATAAATACGAACATCAACTAAATACATAATCTACTGTAGCTAATTTTTGTCCTTTTTTGTCATTTGCATTCTACAGTTTCAACTTAAATTATTGGTCCATGTACAGGCGATGCCTTCTATTGGGCCTGTTTTGATTTTATATTTATTTACTCATATTGTTTGTTATCTTTGTACATTGAGTGAATAAATATTATTATTATTATTATTATTTATAAACCATGCTCCAAAAATGTTTCCTTACAAAAACTTGGGTGTTGAAGTTTCAGGAAAAAATGGAAATTAATTAATATTTTCACGTAGTGAAAGTTGCATATTTTTCAATGCAAAAATAATTTTTAGCTTTAATAGTGGCGTATACGGGTATTGACTTCGATATTCTTTAAGAAAAAAATGGTACCTCAAGGTTTTTTACCAAATAATTATGTTCTCTTGTCTAACTTGCAAAATGATCATTAATTTAATTGGAAAAATTAAAAACATGGGTAATGAACAACAACTGACAACACAAACATAACATTAAAACCAACGAAATGATTACAAAAATTGTTGAAAATAGCCTCCTTTACTTAGTATGCATACTTCCGCCCTCCTTCTCATGGAATTGCGCACTCGTTGAAATATCCCTGGAGTGTTTTTTATTCTATCACAAGCTGCAACTGTTCTTTCTCTTAATTCCTCTGCAGCGTTAATGGTACGTGTGTACACTAATGTCTTAAGATACCGCACAAAAAGAAATCTAAACTGTTTGAGATCTGGGGACCTTGGTGGCCATTCTTGGGGCCCATCCAACGATTCGGATTAACAGTTCGTAAATAATTACGAACCACTACACTGAAATGCGCTGGTGCACCATCATGCGTGTACCACATATTGTTTCTTATTACTAACGGAACATCATCAAGAAGCAAAGGCAGCTGTTGTTGAAGAAAATTGTGGTAAGTCTGTCCGCCAAGTCGTCCCGGCAAGAAGAATGGGCCAATAAAGGGGTTGCCAATAATTCCTGCCCATACGTGAACCGAAAATTGGTGTTGGAAATGGATTTTCTTCTGCCCACAAATGATTATTGTGGAAATGTTGAATGGCATTTCGGGAAAAATTAGCTTCGTCCGTGACAAAAGGTCACACTTCTTGAAAAATCAATCGGAAGTAATGCCTGCACTTTTAAAATAAGGTAAGGATATAACAAAAAATCCACTAATATTCTCCAAACAATTTGATTTGTCAGATGTGAAAAGCCAGTGACATATTCCAGAGAAACTAGATATTTATTGCTAAATTGCATTCTTCAATTTTTACATTAATTTTCTCGGCTAATAAAACGGTTTTTATTTTCGATTTCCAAAAGCTGCCAAGATTTTTCGTCCTTAACCTTGTGCGAAAGTATCATCAAAGCCCAACCGATACTTCCCAAGTTATATCCGGGTCAAGGATTAGCAGACAAACATCACTTAATTTACAGACGTCTACAGAAGTCCACCCTGACTACAAACTCGTAGGCTTGCTTCATCTACCCAGTCCGGATTCGTTTATTCTGAGACAATGCAATATGTTGCAGCGCATGTGCCTGCAACTGGTTTCCTTGGAAACGTACCTTTAGCGCGTTTCGGATGATCGTGTACATTCCTCCGTTCCTGTCCGTTCATGCTTATCCCATTGTACCTCGTCGCATTCCAGAAGCGCTGAGAGTGAAGGAATTCCACGAGACGTGCCTGGAAAGCTCCAGGTCCGGCGAGGAGGAGACGTTAACGACGCTCGGTCGTCTGATGTCCGAGAGCCATCGAAGCCTTGACAGCCTTTACGAATGCAGCCATGCGAGGCTGAACGAATTAGTGGACGCGTCCAAGGCGTACGTGTACGGAGCCCGGCTGACAGGTAATTTGCATAAAATGGAAATTCGAGGGAAATGCTTAGTAGGGAAAGAGGGGCAGGTGTGAAAACCAATTTGACCACTTGCAATACCAGTTCTTATCGCCAACATATTGACTAAGAATGCATACAACGGAATCATTAAATGGCCTGAAAAAAAAAATAATCAGACTAAACATAGAGAAGACCAGTAGTGTGAAATTCACATTAAAAGATGAACGAGATTTCAAGATGTTTGAAAGTACTAATAGAGATATTCCATCATCTAAAGTGGTGGACAGTTGCTTTGCGGCATGGAACATTTTATCCAAATTCAAATCTCGGTATTTTCGGAACGCACAGAGTCTCGCCGGTATATTTCTTCCATTTATACAGTTATGTGTTCTAGCAAAGTGTGCGCCTATACCAAATTCTCAATTTTTTATCTTTTTTTTTCTATGCATCTTTTTGATCTTTGGAGTATCCTAGAAAATTTTTCGAAACTTGGCTGTAACTCAAATCATGATCATTTCGGCTACACAGTCAAGCTCAATACTTTTCTCTTTCTTTTTTTAGGTGCGTGACAATTTACAATTTGTACCATGCTCGACCTTGTCATTCATGTCATATAAATTCCTTTGGATTGGGTATATTTTTGTTATTCACAGGAATTTACTATTATTGCTATTATTAGTCTCCGAGATACTGATTTCTAAAATACAAAATGTTACCAAAATGCAACTTTACAATCAGTGCTGCAAAATATATATTTTTCTGAAAAAAGAAAAATCTGATTTTTTCAATTGAAGCGTGGTTTTTAATTTTTATCAATTTGTACTGTTTTTCCCTTAAATATAGCAATAATGAACTTTGAAATAACTTATTTTACGCTTGAAAAACGGGAAGCGGAGCGGGCTGTAAAAACTTCAAATTTGATTTACAAGGACTTATTGAACCGATGAAAAAACGCTGGGAGATATATTATGAATTTTTATTTTTTTATTTGATGATGAAGCTTATATAATGATAAGATCTTAGTTTTAAATAAACTGTCTTATTTCCAGATGAGTAATTTCAGTTATTCTCTTCGGTGACTTGTTTTTATAACAATTTATAATTTTATTTAAATCACGTTAAATCATGATCTCATTTAGTTCAGCTGTTTGCATCTGCAACTTGTTTTTACGGCAATTTATACTTTTATTTAAATCGCGATCAAAATGGAATGAAATTCTCAATATACAAGATATAAACATAGAAAAGGCCCCTTTTCACAGATAGTTGCACTTGTGCCCTTTATCTATCCACCCATGAGAAGTTCAATCCCTTAAATGGCTTCCTCCCTTCCTTGGAGAGATATTCCCTATGGAATCCACGAATATGAATATAAAACCTCAGACCGACCCAAGGCATTTGCTTCTTCCTGATCATTTCCGGCGTTTGCCCTCAAAAAAGCACTTACGAACAATGCCTATATTAAGTTATTTATTGCCCTTACAATCCACTTTTCATGTTTAACTTTTCGTATCGTTTTTGTCCCGGCCGATCTAAAAAATAAATAAATGCAGATTCCCATACGATCTCTGGAGGCAATAAATCCTCTAAAATGGGCTATTTTGGAAGGAAACATGATAGTGGATGTTATATTTTGATGCCTAAAAATATTTTAACCTCTTGTTTTCCCGTCTATTGTACAACATTTGAAAAGGGCCATACGCCGGAATGTCGTATATTAACAAAAAATTTGAATATACGAGGGACACTAGATAAGAATGGCGTTCATTGAGTTTTTAGGTAAGTTCATAGTTTTTTCTTTTCTTGTGTGACAGGAGCTGGTTGGGGAGGATGCATTGTTGCCTTGGTGAAAAATGAAAATCTTCTGGACTATATGGACCACCTGAAGAAGACATACTACAAAAAATACTGTTTCGGTGACGATATTGGCAAATATTTATTTTCTACATCGCCAAAGTCGGGTGCTTGTGTCTATGTATAATTTTTAAAAAGTATTCAGTAAAAATAAGTCCTGATACTCTACAATGATACATACCAGTACAGCATTTTTAATCATATATTTACTTTTCATGAGGTTATAGTGGAATTATAGTTTCGTTTATACAAATTAATAAATCTTACAAAATCCTCCAGTTTTCTTTCAAAATCCAAGCCAAACCAACATTTATGTTCCTCTAGTTCCAAGTTCGACAGTGCTAAAATACCGGGTGTACCATTTTAATTTCCAGACCTAAACCTAAAACTATTCACCATAAAAAAAACAACAGTTGTAGCGTTTCGAGGTGACGTTGAACACGACCTCCAAGATCATTTCAAGGTCATGTGAGTATTTCAAAATGGAATCCCCCTTTCGCATCTCTAATGGAAAGAAGAAAATTTACGTCTAAGAATGACCTAGAACATAACTATTTCAAGGTTAAATCAAGACGTTTGACACAATTTGCACTAGCAACAATTGTGAAGTTTTTTGGATCAGAAAAGGTTGACCTTGAGTGGAACCTTCAAGGCCAAGTCATATTTTTCAAAAAAAAAACTCTCACTTTATACCCGAATTGTTAAAGCAGGATTTTTTAGGTCCAGTGAGTATTTTAAAATGAGACCTCCTTTTTACATCGAAATTTCACGCCCAAGTATGATCTTGATCATGACCTTGACGTCAAATCAAGGCGATGGAAACAGTTTGCACTATCAACAATTTTCAGAGTTTTGGGATCACTGAAAGATGACCTTGACTGTGACCTTCAAAGCCAAGTCACATTTTTCAAAAAAACCTCTCACATTACACTGGAATCGTTAAAGCAGCATTTTCAAGGTTAAGTGAGTATTTTGAAATGAAACCCCCTTTTTTACGTCCAAGTATGATCTTCATCGTGACCTTGAACATAACAATTTCAAGGTCAAATCAAGTCGTTGGAAACAATTTGCACTTGCAACAATTTTGAGGGTTTTGGGATCACCCAAAGTTGACCTTCAAGGCCAAGTCACATTTTTCAAAGAAATCATCTCACTTTATACTGGAATTGTAAAAGCAGGATTTTTAAGGTCAAGTGAGTGGTTCAAAATAAATCCCCCTCCCGAATACCTCTTCAAAAAAATTATTTTCAGGCAATCTGTTAGAGATCGCATGCTCAGGTATGGCAAATTATTAGATATTCCACGGCACCGTACGGCTTTATTTACTCGCTCTTTTAGGTATAATTGTGTCAGATTGTATAACGTACTACCTGATGCATTCAAAAATGTATCTCAAACTAAATTTAAAGTTTGTGTCAAGCAGCATTTGCTATCAAAAATGACTCTTAGTAGTAGTTTGTAGTTTAGATTAGAAACCGCCAGAAAAATTTTATTTGACGTGTTGCTGAATCTGTTTATATTTTCTATATTATGTCTTGCAATATTTTTGTTTTCCTTTGGCTAGCCACTGTATATACAGGGTGTTTCAGTTTATTGTTGCACAACTTTAAGATTCGATAGAACTTTTAAAATTAATGTATAAAGTCTATATAAACATGATTCGAAAAATGCGTGGCTTCCGAAATACAGGGTGTTTAAATTTACTATATAAAATAGTTTTTTTTTAAATATTTCGAACAATATTTGATGGATAACAGTGAACATTGGTATTCCAGGGTTTTTTGGTACGACAAAACGAACCATGGGCATAGTTTTACTGTGGCCGCTAGAGGGCGCTCTCTACTGTACCTGTAGTGTATTAAAATGATCGAAAAAAATTTCTTAGTGAAATTTTTTGCTTTTTGAATAAAAAAACTGATTCTTCGCACTTCTCAACATAAAAAAGCTCTCTTGTAAATTTTCGTTATAGTTAGCCGTTTTTGAGATATTTCGATTTTTAAGGTTCGATGCATTTTTAATTATTTATGATAAAATAACGTTAAAAACTCAGTATCTCGATAATTTTTAGAAGTAGGCTGTGCCTGCAAATATTTTTGAAATTGAAAGCAGAATAAGGTTAAACGTCAATTAGTTGACAGTTAGTTTTGTTGTCTGTTGAAACCTGAAACGTTTTTTTGCAATTGTGAATGCACGAAATTTAGTTTCTTTTACCTGTTTGCAATCGGAGAACGAAGAATCACATTTTGTCAGTGGATTCTTGATAGAACTGATAACAATAGGGAGTTTTTAAGTAACGTTTTATGGACCGATGAGTCATGCTTCACTAGACGTGGAGTGGTAAATTTTCATAATCAACATATTTGGTCGCATGAAAATCCGCATGCAGTTCGGGAAAGAAATTTTCAGCATGAATTTAGTGTGAACGTGTGTATTGGTATCTACCGTAATCGACTATTTGGACCCTACCTTTTGCCTGCAAGGTTAAATGCTGCGACCTTTTTGGAATTTTTAAAGGCTGAACATGCAAATATGTGGGGTGATGTTATGTTAGATTTAAGAAGATTGGCCTGGTTCCAGCTTGATGGTTGTCCAGCTCATTATTCGAGAATAGTTAGATACTGGCTGGACGAAAATTATCCAGAAAGATGGATCGGCCGTGGAGGACCAGTCGCCTGGCCTCCACGATCCCCTGACTTAAATCCATTAGATTTCTTTGTGTGGGGATTTCTAAAAAAAAGGTGTACCAGACTCCCGTAACCACAAGAGATATGCTAATAGACAAAATCAGGAATGCATGTGATGAAATAAGGCCTTATTTGAATAATGCTATACCACGTTCGATCATTCGTAGATGTGAATTGTGTATTGAACAATTGGGTTTACATTTCGAGCAACTGCTTTAGATTTTGTATGTTTGTCCTAACTATCCAATAGCATTTTAGTTGTGAATAATTAATTTAATTTGTTAAAAATAATATTGGAAAATTAAACAAATTAATATTCTGTTTTTTGTGTTTATTTGGAGTTAGGAATTATTGCTGTGTTTAAAAACACAATCTAAACGATCATCTTAATTACTTGTAATGCCCAAATCGAAAATGTAAAAAAAATATTGTTTTCCCATAAATAATTAAAAATGCATCGAACCTTAAAAATTGAAATATCTCAAAAACGGCTAACTATAACGAAAACTCACAGGATAGCTTTTTTATGCAGAAAAGTGCGAAGAATCAGTTTTTTTATTCAGAAAGCAAAAAATTGCACTAAGAAAAAATTTTCGGCCATTTTTATACACTACAGGTACAGTAGAGAGCGCCCTCTAGCGGCTACAGTAAAACTATGCCCATGGTTCGTTTTGTCGTACCAAAAAACCCTTCAATACCAATTTTCACTATTATACATCAAATATTGTTCGAAATATTTGAAAAAAAACTATTTTAGAAAGTAAATTTAAACACCCTGAGCTGAGTTCCAAAATTGAGGCATTCTCGAGCATTCGGAGTCGGACTTTTTCACCAAAGCAATAAAATGAACTCGTTCAGTTTTTAGGTAATTTTGATGTACTTGTATAATTACTTCCGATAAGCGCCCACCCCAATGTATCTAGATACCCGTTATAACGACTTTCTGATATATCATTTTACTATTTTGAGATAAACTGATTCTGCACACTACACACTATAAGCAAATTTCAAATAGAAAACAGTGCACACCCTGCAAGAATAAGTAAAAATAAAATAAAGTTCTACATACCTTAATTCTTCGTTCTTCCCGTAATCCAAAGGTGCAAATCACTACAAGCACTCACAAACACTTAATCCACACGCGACTAGCACTTTTCCTAGGTACGACAGAGATTTCCCTCTGAAAACAAAATGGCGCGCCCGAAAATCCCGTGTAAGAAGTCCGCGGTACCTCGGAAGTTTTCCTTCGTTCGTCCCGTAATCAAACGTGCGAACCACTGCACAAACTGAAGAACACTTAATCTACATGTCACGAACACCCTTTTCCGGGTGCGGCCGAATTTTCCCTTAGGAAACATCGAAAATAACGCTCCCGACAAGTCCGTGTAAGACGCTCGCGAAGACTGTTTAAAACAATTGCCACATTGCATACCTTCCAGGCGACAGACGTTTTTCTAGGATTTGAAGTTGGCCCGAACTCAGTTCTGAGAATTCTTCCGCACCTGTTTTTATTAGGAAGCGCAATTTCGTTTATTTTAACTGTTAATTTCTGCTGCTACGTAAATATGATGGCAGTGATATTCTTGCTTTGTAAAATATTCTGTTTGAATTTCTAAATAACAGATTAACTGCATATGAATTAAATAAAGGTCACTGTAGGGCAAAATACTGAAATTCAAGTAGGCTGATTCTGCATCTTACTTGAAGTTGGATGAAATTTGTTACTTGTTGGTTTTCGTCGAATTCTGTTATAGTCCAGTCATTATTGGTAACGATATCGATCGAAATGCTGAACCTCCGCGCAAATCAGATTTTTTTTTAGTGGTAAATATAGCTCTTTCATTGATTAATGAATAGTTTTTGATAGCCTTTGCGAAAAATAATATTTTCTTAGATGTCAACGATGGCTTACTAAATATCAAAAATCTTGTTCTAGTGCGAATGTGAAATCCTATTCCTGCTTTTAATTGGTTGTCACTTGGGTAAAGAGTGACATAAAGGTAAGAGGCACGTAGAATCGTCAACTGACAACACATAAGTACTGTACTTGTTACATATACAGAAGACATACAAAATTTACAAGATGAATTAGTCGTAATATGATATTTTAACATTTTGTGATCTCATTGGAGTGGCCGCTGACCGAATCATCATACTGGAATGTTGTGGGATCAACCTAATAGGATCTTGACAACGAATGTCAAGTTCAAACCACTCTTTTTCATACTGGTATTGGAAAGGCAGGAAATTTTACATCCCAATGTCAAGCTTAAATGTTATTTAAGCTAAAATTTTCTGCATACAGAGTATTGGATTCAACACGTTGGTATTCGAAAAAATGGCGTCAACTAGATTGACTCTATATCTCCTATGGCCAAATATTGCTAAAATATACAGGGTGACTTTGAAGTTGAGTCATTAATTTTCAGATAATGATTGTAGAAGGAAGATAAACCAAAATATGTGTTTAAAAATAAAAAAAAAAATTAAAAAAAAATTTTACCTTGTTTTATAAAGTATCCTCCCGACAAGTATTTCAGTGCGGACCTGTATTTGATCGTGAGGTCTTGGAGCACCGGCATGCCCTCCCCTGTGAGGTCTTAAGTCACCTG